CGGGTCGCGACTCGAATGTTGCGGTGAATAAACGTGACTGTCGACACGTATAGTCGTCGCCTACATTTCGAGTCGATAGACAATCATCGATTGCGCGTCGACATCCGTGACTCGATTCGTCTTCTCTTCCCTCTGAACGACTCCTTATTTTCGAGCTACGACTTATACGGGGAGAATCTTATTGCGAATATTGCTGTAGAATAATCAATGAATGTTCTGCCCTAATTTATTAATTTTTCCATCTCATGTGCTATATATTTAAAAAAGAATGAAATATATTTTTAAAAAATTTGCTATTTTTCTTACTATTCGCGTTGGCTTTCTCTCTTACCTTTGAACGACCCTTCATTTTCGAGTTATGAGTTATATAAGGAGGATTTTATAGCGAACATTGCTATACAATTTTCTGACATATCGCAGAACATATCGTGACATTCTGCTCTAATTTATTATCCTTTAATTTCATGTGCTGTGTATATATATTTAAAAAATGAAGTCTACTCTTAAAAAATTTACTATTTCTTATTATTCGCGTTGGTCTTCTTCTCCCTCTGAACGACTTTTCATTTTCGAGCTATGACTTGTACAGGAGCAAAATTTTATAGCAAACATATGGTTACAAAATTTTATAATCAAGGAACATGTGTCTCAATACTTTGTTTTAAGTTTTTTTATATCATATATGCTATATACACGATGTTCCATTTTAAACAGGCCAGCTGAATATCTTAAAAACTAAGCTCGCCAGGCAAATATGTTCAGATAAAATTTATAAGTTTTTGAGGGGAAAAAACGGTGAGCTAAAAACGGTTTTAGCTATGGTCATTCGCCAAAGTCATATGGTCCTGTTTTTTTTAAATAAAAAGTAGTATTTTTTATAGCAGATTCTAAAAAATCGTTCAACTCTGTGTAGAAAATATCTAAAACGTGTATGAGTTAAGTCTAAATTTAGGAGTTATGCAATGCAACATACAACTTCGTTAATTTTCATCAACAATGATGCGCGCGAATTTTTGTATGCATTCGAGAGATTCGATTATGGCCTGTTTAAAATGAGGGAGGCACTCTGTATAATATCATATATACTAAAAAATATTTGCACAAACTTTATGTCTTCCTTTATTCGCGCAAGTCTTGATAAATATTTGATAAAGACGAGACAGGGTCATAACTTTTTAAGTATTTAAAATATTAAATATTTAAGATATAATGAATAATATACGAAGCATCTCTTTGTGCTTTATTATACGATTATTACACGACACATCGGATTCAGCTCGATCGCGCCTCGCACGCGAATCAATGAGACACATCGACGTGTTAATCATTGCTCGTTCGCTGATAAACCGGCGCGTCTTCCCGAAGGAGGAGTCGACGCCGCGCGCCGAAGTACAGCACGGCATGTAGGCGAATATAACTGTTTTATTAAACCGTAAGCCGCGTCTTCTTCGCGTTCGCGGCGGCGGCGGCGGCGGCGGCTACTTATGTAATCGAAAACACGGAGAGTGAAAATCGAGCGCGATCCTACTTTCGTCGGCGAGAAGATGCGCCTCCCGGCGCTTCTGCCCGAGCTTATGTATCACCCGGCTAACGGGCAACCTTCCACCGGAGTCGTAAGTCTACCTTCCGTTTATGAGGTCATCGGGTATTTGGATCTAACGAAACAGCCGAATGTATGCTCGCGACAGCGAACGCTGAGTCAAAAGCGGGAAATCGGGAGAGCACGTCGCGGTTTTTCGTGGAAAAACGCATCATCGGTTCATGTAGCTGAATTTCTGTTGTCTGGGAATCAGGCGAAATGCCGATGACGATAAATGATCTCTCTGTTACTCTGATAAAGAGGTATTTGTTTGACAATTCGGCTGCCTTAAAACTCGATTGAGATAACCGGAAGAACAATTGACTGAATAATGTAAACGTTCTACAGGTATTTTTTTCTTCAAATGTTTTCGTCCCATTCTCATGAACAGAAATCTACACAACCCCAATTTTTTCTATGCAACAATCTTTTTCTGATAGGAAATTATGCGCCGCGAGTTAACACATGTACTGAGAAAAAACATTTGCAAATTTATATATGGGAGATAAAGCATGTTTCTAAGAAATAAACTTTTATTCTACACATAAATAAACTCAAGTATTTTTCAAATATCTTTCTTTCGGTACGTTGCCCACGTCGAATTATATGAATCGCACTGAGAAAAATATTCCAAAATTTATTTATGAAACAAAAATCTTGTTTTACAGAAGTAAACTATTTTGTAGAAATAAGCTTTATATTCCATCAATAAATTTTGGAATATTTTTTTTTAGTGCAATCGACGTGTTAATTTAGATCAATTATCCTACGAAATAAGTTCTCACAGAAATAAATTTAATTTTTCAGAGATAAACTTTATACTCCACAGATAAATTTTCTTCAAGTGTTCTTTCTCAGTGCAATTTACGTATAAAACATAATCTTAATTGCATATTTTTTTATTAATAAGTTTTATTTTATAATATAAAAATTACTAATTTTTTTTATTTTATAATAAAAATAATTTTATTAACTCAAATAATAAATTAATAATAAATCAATAAATTAATAATTTTAATTAACTCCCTTAAGAAAAAAGCAAATAAGGACATATAACATATTAAATATACAGTTCGATAGGAAGTTAATGAAATGATTGAACGGAGATATGCATCGTGAATTGCATTAATTTACCATACCATTGATAATTTGAACTTCAGTTAAGCATTGATACATTCAATGGAAATGAAGGTGACAATCAACGTCTCGTCGACGTTTCTTCAATCGGAAAAAAAATATATACTGAGAAAAAAATTTGAAAATTTATTTGTAGGACGTAAAGTTTACTCATAGAAATAAATTTTATTTTGTAGAAATAAACTTTACATTACAGAAATAAATTATATATCCCACAAATAAATTTGTAAGCATTTTTTCTCAGTGTAAGAATCGCTTTGCGAAATATCGTAAAACATTCTATTGCGAGATCCAACAATAAGCATACTAAATGAAAGAAAAATACAAGAGAGATGAATATCTTACGAGACCATTCAACAGCCGAAGGGTCAAGAGTCAAGGGCGTATTTCGTACTTCAGAAATTGGACGTACAAGCCGCGAAAGGTCAAGGTAACGTGTGTCTATTTTACCTTGCCGGATCTGTTTATCGGATCGCGATCGATGCGAGACTCGGAGCTGTCGCCATTCGCTATTTGCGTGCGTGCCAAGGGCGAGCCGTACATTTGAATTGGATCGTTATATCGGCATCGCGATCTCTAAGTGTTCGCTGTCCCCGTTAGCCGTTTCTTTAACAAGGTCACGTCGCGAAGTTCAACGCACGAGTGAGCCGCGACGGAGATTATTCCGCGTGCGTCGCGTTTCTGCGATCGTTATCTGGCATTCGGCCTAACAGTCTAACGTGTTCATTAGCGGCTCTCGCGGAATTTCGTGTGCCGCACGACTCGTCTATGACCCGCGATAATCTCATTTGTTGTCGCGACAAAACGCGTAAAACCAGTACACGCGTGGACAATTTCAAGTTTGCCTTGATATACACATTTGCACGGCAAAAAATGTTTGATTGAATGAACCAATTTCTGATGAGATATGAATTTCGGATGAAGTTGTCAGAATTCAGTTTAAATTATCACAATTTCCAGTTGACTTAAACGGAATTCTGGTAATTTCAATCTGAATTTCTGAACCGCTCATGTTTCAGGAATTCATTCATCCAATCAAACTTCTTTTTTTCCATGTAAAAATAATAATAGAATTCTTTGGTTTGTATTAATAGTTATTACTTGAAACACTTCTCAAATAAAAAACTCAAATCTGAATTCAGAGCTTTTCAGTTGAATCGCAAATGCAAGTATAAATATCACATATATCATAACTCAATTGAAACACTTGGATCTGATACTAAATAAAAATCTGAGCATCTCACATGAGACAAGCTTCTGGTGATAACTATTAATACGTGTCTTAATGATGCATGTTAATAATTGAAATGCATCAATAATTGAAATCTTTCATTGAATTTTTTAGTTTCCCTTTTCACTATGCTTGAAGATGTTAATAAAATCGTAACAGCGCGCTACCGCGCGAAATATATTCCTGAAAGTATTTAAATTTTGTGCTCTAACGTAATGTTGGGCATCAAACAATTAAAATTTTCTTTGGCTGAAATAATCAGCAAATCAGTAATCAAAATTAATAAATCGTAAATCGTGATCTTATCGATTGATGAATCTAATTATTAATCAGTGTGTAATCAGTCACATGAAAACTTGATTAATAATTAATTTCATCAATCAATCAATGAAATTATTTGTGATTTTATATATGACGATTTTATATATGACAATGGACTAATTGTAATTATTAATTTGCCAATATTATTCTAATAAAAAAAAGTTTAATCGACTAATGTCCAGCGCTGTCCTAATATCTTTATGATATTATAATATTCGCCTATAATAAAAAATATCTGCAGACTGTCTCAAAATTTTCGAGACAGTCATTATTCAAGGCATTACGTAATAGTGTGGAACTGCCCTTGCTTTATTCGTTGAAAACCGATAGTGGTTTATTCTATCATGCACTACGTTAAATTACACTCTATGGTCGATATTCATAGTTCGATCTTATAATTAAAATCATCTTAAATACTGTTTTAAGATGTCATGCACAGAAAAAAAGCTTTGGTTGAATTAACCAAATATTTGGTCGAATATGAACGATTCAGAAATAACCAGAATTCTGTTTAAGTTAACAAGATTTTTGGTTGACTTAAATAGAATTCAGATTACTTCAATCGGAATATCTGGATCGTTCATATTCGACCAGATATTTGGTTAATTCAACCAAGCCTTTTTCTCCGTGTGAACCAATCACAGAGCCGTATTCGCATCTTAAGACATTACGTAAGACGGTCATGATTGGACTATGAATACCGGCCTATGAGTGTTCAGATTCGACACTCACCGATATGCAGCTGAGTCCACTGCCGTCCAGTCAAGTTCACCGACATCCATAGAGGAAACTAACAGCTGCATGGTTCCATGTTGGCTACCGTTTCATTTCACTTCAGTGCACTCGCGACACGACCGATACTTGTATCTGTAACGGCGTAACGCGACTCACGTGCATTTTGACCGATTCGTAAAAGCCAGGAGTCACGCGTGACGTCTTCCGATCTGTTAACCGACGCGTCAATGAACGTTATGATTGCTCAGCACTTATCGAGATCACAACTTGACTTTCAGATACGCCCTGGAACATACGGAAAGATACGCTCTAATTAGAAGTAGAATTTCTTGATATATATTAAAAAAAAAGGAAAGAAAAAGGAACTTCTCAGTTTGTCTCGTATGTATGTTTGTTATTTGTTTGCATGCTCGCCCTCATAACTCGAGAACTGTTAGAAATGTTAATATGAAACTTTTTGTAACTTCTAAAGTGAAGAGAGTACGGTTTGCGAAAATTTAATCGCGGTTTTTTGATGTAATTACTAAATTGAATTATTCACGGTAGGATTTGGCACAAGTCAGTTGTTTGACACAGATGCGCGTGCCGCCAATTATTTTCTGATTTTTATTTCAAACATATGCACTGAACTCACTTTCCTTGTTTAAATTGTTCTTTATTCCTAATTAAGACGGTATTAAATTTCCCTTTTAGGCCAAACTCTCTTCAATTTAGATTGTTTCTACACATTCGTATATTATTTGCAATTTTTAGTATGTTATCTACGTGATTTTTAAGTTAGTATCATTACTCAGATTTGTCTAGGTGATCTGGAAATTGGGTAATCCTATTACTTTTTACAACACGAAACTCTGTCTCTCTTTTATTTTCAACAAATAAGTAAATATCTATCCAAATGTTACACTCCAATTTTTTTCTAATTTGGCACAAATGTAGAAGTACAAAAAATATTTAGGTCATATTTTTTAATTTTGATCTACTTTGAGTTTCATGGGCAGTTTATAACTTTTTAACGTTCTCACTCCTATCATCAACAAAAATGCATAAGAAATAAAATTGAATATAAGATATTGTTAAATAATTTTAACTAAAATTAAATAATTTAAACAAAATCGGCATAGCTGAGATACGAATCATTCTAAATTTCTTTAGCCGAGATTCAAACCGAAATATTTTAAATCTGTGCTAAATTAGTCAAAAATGGTTCGAATCTCAGCCAAACTAAGAAATTATTTATATAAATAATTTTTTCCAATTTTTTACACGTTTCGTTTAAATTATTATATTATTATGTTATATTTATTTATTTATTTTATTATATTATATTTATTATTTATTATATTATATTTATGTCGCATATCCTCCACGGAATCTGCAATGTGTCGTTTATCTATGGGCTACTTCATTCTCATAGCGTGATACGGAAAATGATGAGTTAGGCGCGCGATTGTGTGGAATCTATGGAGAGCTCGTCGCAAATATCGACGATGCGTGCGCGACAAGTGATCGATCGGCTCGCGGGGTCGATTATTTTCGTGTACGCTCGCTCGCTTCGTCCGCGCGTTCACCCATTCAGGTATTCACTTTCTTACTTTCGATTATCATGACGAAGTTGGAGATACGATGTTAAAACGGCGCGGATAACGTTAGCGCGAACGGTACACCGGTGAACTGTTATCCTCCTTGCGGAGAAGCAGACGAGGGGACCCACTGGCCCAGCGATCAAGTCCCGGCACTCAGTTCGTTTAACAATGTCGTTTCGTCGGCAGTCTCGAAACGAACATTCCATCGATAACTCGTATTTTCGTGTTTTATCGCTGCCGTGTACTACCGGTGAAACTATGCGCCATTCGCGCGGCTAGTTCGTCCACGTGCTCCGATCGTGTGTCCGTTTCTCCGCGAAACGCGATTTGCAAGTGTCGTGATCCGCGATCCTGAAGACGCGGGGGAAATTGTTGAAACTGAATTTTGTGTGTGGGATGAAAGTTCACGAAAGGATGATTCGCAGTGTAGCTTGTATCTTTCGCGTATAAATAATCTGTTTGTGCACGAGCAGATAACACGCTGGATTTACTTTAAGAAAATGTTTGCGAATTTACGTAGAAACGTAGTAAAATCTTCATCCGATTATTTTGACCAGAAAATAAATTATTCTTTTATATATTTTTTATACGAAATTCGATACCGTTTAACTCGCTACCGCACATGCACATGCATTGAGAGAATCAATATTAAAAAAAAAAATGAAATACGTTTATTCGCGGTAGACGCTGATAACATATTTACTTACACTTATATATATATATATATATATATATATATATATATATATGTTTTTTTTGCATTGAGAAAAATTGGTTCCGAATGAAAAACACATTTTCCTAAATAAAGGAATTTAGATTCAAGTTAATATGTAATCAGAGTACCCACATCGAATAAATATTTTTTATTTCTTAGATATATTCTTTTTCTCAATGTGTGTGTATAACGCAACGATTTTACAAGATATCGACGTCATGATATTATGACAATGGAATCTTTCGTTCTATATTTAAATGAACAAATAAAATCTGTTTTATTAATACGATTTACACTGTTCTATAAAGAAAATGAATAATATAGTAATTTGTAGTAAATAGTTTTTCTCAAATGTATGATGAGCAAACGTATTATAATAACTTATGTAACGTCACATATATGATTTGACATTAAGAAATGCACGATTTCATTCCAATATCTTGATAAATTTAGATCTAACTTTGAATTCAAATTTGAGTGTCTCAAACGAAGCAAGTTTCAAATCACGACTATTAATACAGGCTTATAAATTATATGCTGAGAAAAAATGCTTGATATTTGTAACTATAATCACAGAGAAATAATTACTATGAATTATGCTGAACAAAATCAATTTTTCTATTGAACTCTACTACACAGAGAGAACGATTTGGTTGAATCAAATAAACGCTTCTTTGGAATAGAAAACGAATTTTTCGATTGATCAAACAAAATTTTGTTTGAAGCAACAAAAATATTTATTTGCGGCTTAGTTCCAAAGAAATATTTTTGTTGTGTCAATCAAATAATTCGTTTGGACTATTCCAAAGAAACATTTATTTGAATCAATAAATCGTTCTCTCTGTAATAATGTTAATATTCAATCAATTTCAATAACCTAAAAATCTGTTACTACTAGTAACAGATACTGTATATACTATCTATCACTACTATTATTTCACTATAAAAAATATAGTTAGGGTAAAAAATTACTAATTTTAGTTAGATCAACCACTTTTTCTCTCAGTAAAAAAATAGTTAAGGTATAATAGTTAAGTATAAAAAATATAGTTAGGGTAAAAAATTACTAATTTTAGTTAGATCAACCACTTTTTCTCTCAGTAAAAAAATAGTTAAGGTATAATAGTTAAGTATAAAAAATATAGTTAGGGTAAAAAATTACTAATTTTAGTTAGATCAACCACTTTTTCTCTTAGTACACGCACAGCAATCCGTCTTGTCGACTGTGCCTATCTGTGACATTCTGACAAAGAAATACTTGACAATTTATTTGTGTGATACAAAGTTTATTTCTGCAAAAAATAAAATTTATCTCTATGAACTAAACTTTTGTTATACAAATAAATTTTCGAGTATATTTTTCTCAGTATACTCGAGAATGTACACATTCAAATTCGCCGAGTATATCTGCTGAAAGAGGGGCAAATGGCCGCCGTTCTATTCCACTTTTGGAGTTTACTCCCGGCATCCGTCGTAATAAATAATGTCGGGAGGCTCGCCTAGAGCGCTTCGGGCAGTTTATGCATAATGCAGTACGAGTTCTTTGGAAACACGAAGAATCGTGAAGACACCGGGATGGTGTTTCGCATCATTTTGCATCGTGGTTCGCGAACCTCGTTTTCTCGTACGAGTTTCATTTCACAATCGCTGTATCATTCATTAATTATGCGCGAACGAATTGCATTACAAGTGTACATTGCGAGCGTGATTCACGATGTTCGACTACTTCGGTTATGTTCGGTTCGTGGAAAGATCATTTCGATGATTATGAACGCGGAGCGTGACACATCGTTCGTCCTTATATAATTGAATAAGAGGTAACAATGAACGTCGATAATGAAAAACTGATCGAAAGGTGCAAATGTTTCGAGCAGTACTGCACCATTCTAACTTGGGGAATTTTCTTCACAAATAAATTAACTTTACAAATAATTACATAGGTGAAAAAAGAGAGAAGAGGAGGATCGATCGCAGGTAAACGTTTCTCGAGATCTTCGAACGAGCGGACAGCGGAGGCGACTCGAACGTCTTTCTCGAGGCAGCGAAATTTCTCGGATGAAATCAAGCCGCACGAGCGCGGCGAATAGTTCGAATTCAAGAGCGTAAAACACAGGCTGTTCTCGCTGCTCCTTTTTTTCACCAGCGCGACGAAGGAAGGCGGTGCGCGTTGCTGCCCGCCATATTGGCGAACCGGCGCGGAAGGGTCGCTTCGGCACGGGGAAGTCCGCGGTAGAATGAACGCAGGAACGCGGGCGAGAGAGCTTGACCGAGAGATGCAGAAAGAAAAAGAGAAAGAGAGAAAGACGGATGATAGAAGAGGAGAGGAGAGAGAGAGGGGGGAGGAGGAGGGCGAGAGAAGGGGGCAGCAGAAAGAAAGAGAGAAGGAGAACGCGCCGTGAAGAGAAGAGGCGAAAGAACGGACAAGGATGAAGAGATGGAGGAAAAGGAGGAGGAAGAAGAGAAGAGAGAGGACAGGGAATAGTAACGCGCAATGCCCGGACAACGCTCCCGCAGCGCTGGGGCCAACTAACGGTCCAAACCACCACCACCATCGCCGCCGCCGCCGCCGCCGCCACTACCACCGCCACCATCACCACCAGCGCGAACCTAACTTCAACAGTCCTCATCATCTTCTCCTCCTCCCGCGCTTCGTTTTGCATCCCTTTCTCCCTCCTCCATCTTACTCCTCCTCTTCCGTCTCGTCGTCGCGGTCTAGTCATCGTCATCGTCGTCGTCATCGTCGTCGTAGTCATCGTCATCGTCGTCGTCGTCGTCGTCGTCGATGTCGTCTAAGTCGCGGTCACGGCGGACGCGCACGCTCGACGAAGCGCGCGTGTGCACGTCCTTTTAAACTATAAATTGCCCGGACCGGTCTTTTACATTTCCTTTTACATTTCCTCGCGACGGATTCCGCGAACGTGCGCAGCGATAGCGCGACGAAGGGACGACTCAGGCGTGAACGATTGTCGGGAGAGAGTGAGAGAGGGAGAGAAAGAGAGAGAGAGAGGGAGGGAGAGAGAGAGAGAGAGAGGATGTTCTAACAGATACGGAGGTGCCGAGGAAGAAGCCGGATTCTCTCCATCTCGGTGTCATCGCGCGCGTTCGCTATCGACGACCGAGACGACGCTATATCCTCTTACTTCCTATCACCCATTCCTTATCATTCAAGGAACTGATACGCAGAAAAGTACATACTGCGTTCAAGTCAATGTTACTCGTCTCAAATATTTCATAACTTGCATAAAAAATATTTTAGAATTTAAATTGGATCCAGTCCGATTTCCCACAATAATCATCGATTCTATATGGAAAATAGTAATGTAAAGTAATGTATAGTATGGTAAATGTTTTTAACACGCGAATCTAAATGGGAAATCCAGACAGATCCCATTTGGTCATTCCCAAAGATTCTTTCTGGTTTACATTTTAAGTTAAAATTGAGCAAAATATATAGAACGTTTCGAATATTTATTTATTAAAAGTATATACACACACACCTACTTGTAAAGAATAAATACTCAGTGTTTACGAAAAAAATCATTACGAAGATCATCCGTCAAATTATCTTCAGTACAAATTTATTCTATATTATATATAAAATGAAAATGTATTATTTTACATTTTAACATGGAACAATATAAATCAAAGAAAACCCTTGTCTTTATTGCATTAATGAAACTGATGCAAAAAAACACTTAAAAAAGCTCGAGTTTCCTTAATACTTCTGTTTCGATTCTAGACAGAAAATCCATGTTTGGGACAAGAATAGGATTTTCAATTAGTATTGTAGTGGAATAATCTATTTTGGGAAAAAATTGGGCATTCTGATTGAAATCTAACTTTGCATTTAGAAAAATGCTAAGAAATTTCTATACGAGAAGTTTATATATTTTGCAAATCTCTCTATCACAAGCATATTCAAGAAACATTCTGAATCCCGTGCGGAGAGAGTATTATAGTTTTCGTTCATATATAAATTCTTTTCAATTTTATAGTTCTTAGTAATCCAAGAATAGACTGTCAGTAAGGAAGGAAGTCAGTAAAGTTCCTATCTTGTTAAGGAACATAGCGAATTTGACTGGAATCACAGTAAATTTCGCTACAAACATAGCAAGTGTTTTAATAGTAATATTTCAGTTAATAAAATATAAGTAGCACATATGAAAGGGGAGGATAGAATAAATTGCAGAATGTCGATCTATTTCTTGGTTACAAAATCCCCTATTAATTTAAAATTGTCTCCGTATAACAAATTCAGCATTTCAATCAAGAATATTAAATTGAAACAAAAATTTAATTTGTTTACTAGAGACTAGCCAACTTTTTCTTTTATAAAATCTAATAATATTCCCGTAATGAGAGTAAATTCTTCTTTCGAGCGCACGATAATGAATTTTTTATCAAAATTTGTAATGAATATATCTTAAGAAGATACACTTTATTGGAGATAACGATTATTTAAAAGGTTGAAAGTAAATTGAGCAACCACTTCTCTCAACAGAATATTTTTCTGTAGTGAATAATAAACTAAGTATATTATAGGTATCCATAAATAATCAAATATCAAGGGGTGAAATACGTTTAAAGTCGACAGACAAAGCTTTTATATTCACTATAATAACTATAGTATAATAATTATAAAAATTCCAATCATTATAATAACTGGAATACTTCACTCATAAGCGCACACATACAAATAATACGCAAAAAATATTGTTTTGTATTATACAGCTCAAATAAAAACTGATGAAAATAAGAGTTTAGAAAATATTTGATTATTCATGGGAACACCTAATAGTTGGTGGATACGAAAATAAGACACGTTATAGAAAACGCATTGTTATTATTGGAGTGACGTCGTGCATTTCATTTAATATCATTTGTGTTAATTGTTATTTATTGTCAATATTAATATATTAATTGCAAACCCTCATGTTGACATTTGCAAGTAAATACACGTTCGCGTGAATTGAAAGCTACCTGCGACGACGTGCTCCAATACAGGAACCGCTCGAAAAGTGGAGGAGCGCGGTGAAAAACGAGGAAACTTCATATCCGCACAGCCGCGCAGCGGATTCACGAGTATAAAGGACACCCTCGCGCTGCGACCAAGGGTCTGAGAAATTCTCGAGTTACGAAACATTCAAACTAGATCTAACCGTCGGTCGTTTTTCCTTTCTTTCTTTTTTATTCATTTTTTTCGCGCCGCTCTCACAGTGTCTACAATAGAATTTCCTCGAATCTTGTCCACTGAGGGAAAAATTACCTTAAAATCAACATATATTTCTTTGATGGGTGCCATTAACATATTTATTTAAATCTAAATTCTCTTTATTTAAACTAAATATTGTTTACTTGATTTAAGTGAAAAATAAATAAAGAGAATTTAGATTTAAATAAATAAAGAGAATTTAGATTTAAATAAATATGTTAATGACATCCATTATTGAGTTTTGCTCAACAATAAATATAATTAATTAGTACATTAAAATAACACGTTGGCACAATTTTAAAAGAAATATTTGTTGATTTTAAGATAATTTTTCCTTCATTGTCAAAGAAATCCGCTCTGTTTGCCGACGCAAACGAGGTACTTCCGTTAATTATTATTTTTACGAGTTATCATTTAAGAAAATAATTGGTTGCCCGATTAACAAGTGCTCGCGAATGGAATGTATTGACTCTTCAGGTTTTTTGTTTTCTGTCGACCGTGCATCTTAGTTTTCGATCGCGAATAATTAGAAATAAAAGATTACAGGAAATTTATAAACTTACCTACGAGTCGATCCTGTTCGGCTTGATCCGGATACTCCGGTTCGATGTCCATTAGAAATGTGTTTTCGTCCACCGCGCGGAAGCGAGTTCTGCAGGATCTGAAACGTGAAATAATGTTTCTCCTTGATTAAATATAGTTAAATATAGCTGTACATTATTCGATTATTCTGTTATCCATCATTTAGAAACTATTTAATATATTATTTTAATGTACTAATTAATTATATTTATTGATCAGCAGAACTCAATAAAATTTTATTTCCGCGAGAAAGACATATATGAGGTAACTCGTACTTTTGACAGTCGACGTGTAAAATTTAACAGAAGCAAAACATGATAGAAATATCACGTGAATTTTGTGATACTGCCATCGCTTATATCAATGTCGAAGTGATAATCGCAGCGGGCATATCACAAAATACTTCTACATACGCACTAATCTGTTTAATAAATTAAAGATATAATAATGAATCAAGGGAGACGTTGTATTCGATATATATTCGCAACCACGTCAAAGATTGTTATAATCGTGAATCACATCGGTGACCTACATATAATGTATATTGCGATGAAAAAATCGCACGAACATATGCGTGTTATGTTGGACATTGAGAGAAAAAAATATTTAAGGAATAGTAAATATTTATTCATTGAGTACACTATAACAATCTATTTACTTATGCTAAGATAAAGTATTCTTTAAATAAAGAAATATACATCTTCTTAAAACTTTAGCTTTTCATGAGAACAATTGTTTAAATAAAAGAAACTAGAGTTAAATAAATATGTTATTAGCAACCGCGCGATATCAATCATCTTTTATTTTTTAAATATTTTTTCATTCGATGTATAAATTTCTCTATGTAATATGTTTATTTCTGATATTTTTTTATATTTTTCACAATATATTCATTATTTAATATTAATATGAAATTTGCGAAACACTAAAAGGTTTACAGAACATTGAGATTTGTACATGTTGAAGGAGAAAGAATCTAGAAAAATTTTTTTTTTTATGAGTACTAATAACATATTTCCTAAAATTTAAATTCTTTTATTTAAATAAAATAAACAATTACTTTTATGAAAAGCTAAGAAGAGAGTTTTAAAAAAATGTATATGTATTTTCTTATTGGAAAAATATTTTATATTATTGTAAATAAATGTGTTAATTAATATCCACCAGAAATAAATATTTTCTATTTTTTAAGTATTTTTTCTCTCAGTGTCTTTTCTTAAATATTTTTTAAGTATTTTTTGTCTCACAATCTGCAGCTAAGAAAAAAGGAATTCTCTTGATATACGTGATGAGGGTAATTCGAAATTTCTCACATCAAAATTCGCTCCAGATCTGTCAAAGAGGCTTCCGAAATTTATACAACAATGACGAATTTCCAGAGAGCAAACGAATTTTGAGGTAAGATGACGACAGGTAAAAATATCGCACACAAAAGCGTCCTTAAAAAAGAAAGAAAGATAGGCATTCAATATACTTTCTTTGAATTTTCCACCGCATTATTTCTTTCGACAAGGTCGTGTTATATTAAATATCAAATAATGGAACGAACGCTGCTGACATAATCGTAAATTACGGCGGCTCGACTTTTAACAGTCGGAATAAGATTGTTCATGACAAAAAAAAGAAGATCGGAGATATGTTTTAACAACGGACACTGAGAACGATCTCTAGATAATCTAGCGATACTTCCCGAAATCAGAAATTGAGTTCGATTATTCAATATTTGGTAGACACGTGTTATTCGCGTAGTATCAAGGAAACACGATTATCACTGATGATTTGTTCACTTAGAATATCCCGACATACACCGCACGGAACATATGCGCAAGAAAAGGACTAGTCGCAAGAGCTAAAATATCGCTCTGACAACTAAGATATCTCTCGTACTTACATAATTATACTGTATGATGTTTGTGCCACAGAAGTATGTTCAGCGGAAGCGCGACAATTTCCCCTTTCCAATGATATTAGTCCCAAGTTGCTACGACGTCTGCAAGTGGAGTTATTAACAATTATATCGGCCCGCGTTCTAAATTATTCGCCGCAGCAAGTCGCACGTACGCCATGCGCGACGCGTGAAAGGAACGTGACTGTCACCTTGCGGCACGCTTCCCCCCACTCCGCGGCTCAGATAAGCGTACCCTCCCCCCTTCTCTCTCTCTTGCTCGCCGTAGTCGCGCGGTCCTTCACCTCTCACTCTCGCGCTCTGAGTTTGTAGATATGAATTAAGGGTATGGTAAAGCTGAAAACTTTATCGACAGAATACTGATACTTTTCTGCAAAGTTTACGTTATACAGAATTAAAAGTGCTTTTACGCGCAATGAAAGTACGTATAAAAATAAATAAGAGCATTACTCAATATGTGACGAAAACAAAAAAAAAATTTGATGTACAATCTCAAAATGACAGCTAGCGTAATATTTGCCTAATCAAAAAGTTACGCAGCTTATACATAACGAAAGTGTGTATGCTCCAAATAGAAACATTTTGAAGAACATTGCTGTATCTCCGCGCCTGAATTCAGAAGCTTAAGAATATCGGAAAAGTTTGCAGAAAGATTTCTACACATGTATGATTAGGTTTTCTGCTGAATATGGTAAAACAAAGCAACACATTTATGTATATACTGTATACAAGATTGTACACGTGATTGTGTCAGTGACGATCGTCTCTGCGTTATCGCCATTGTCGAGTTTGTCATCGATTTCAATATCTTTTTAAAGGGATCTCTTTGAAAATTTTACTTTTTACAAAAAATTATAAGACACGCATTTTTGGACTTTTCAGTATATCTTAATTATATTTTGTAGAAATCACATGATTTTTCTCGTAATTGAAACTCGCATATTAGTTGAGTTATATTGACACAGCACAACAAAAAAGCAAATAAAATTTATATTTTATATATGGCGATCATCCAAACTGAAATCATTGGACTAAAAAATTTGATAAAACAGCGAGATCAAAAAATAAATTGTAACGTTGCAATTTGCAACTCTGCTATTTTGTCAAATTATGATCAAATCTAATGATTTTTGTTGAGACAATAGCTACACACATATAAAATATGAATCTTGTTTACTTTTTCGTTTCAGATTACTACAAGCGGTTATATCATGTATGCCAGCAGGACATAAGCGTGTTGCGCCGCGTCACATAAATGCGAGTTTCAATTATGAAAAGAGTCGTGTAACTTCTTCAAAGCGTACTGAAAAATTTATAAATGTGTGTCTTATAATTTTTCTTCGTAAAATAAAAATTCAACATCCTAAAATATAAAATAAAACCAACATATAAAATATAAATTTTGTTTGCTTTTTTGTTGTGCTGCGTCAATATAACTCAACTAATATGCGAGTTTCAATTACGAGAAAAATCATGTGATTTCTACAAAATATAATTAAGATATACTGAAAAGTCCAAAAATGCGTGTCTTATAATTTTTTGTAAAAAGTAAAATTTTCAAAGAGATGTTGAAATTCCAAAAAGGAACCCCTTTACTTCATACCTACAACTATCCAAAGCCTTTAGAAGCTATACACACGTAGACATTGACATAATTAGGTTACATGGAAATTTAAAGAAAAAAATTTTTGCAGACGAAGAAAATGGACAGCGGGAGACGGCATGTGTGTGTATCGAATGGCCACATCAATGGCAGCTGGCGTGTTCATTGCATATTCTAAACCAGAATTAAGAGTTTCAGGAAAAAGCGGCCATTGAGAAAAAAAGGAGAGAATAAAGATGATGTGAAAGGAGACAGAAGAACCGGACCTCCGCACGTCATCAAAGATACATCGCCAATAATAATAAATAATGTACAACATGTGGTTACGAATAATGGAGTACGCGCTGGTCGTATTATATTACGCATTCTTCCGACGCTTTTCTTCCGGAAAAAGATGGACAAAAAATTCACCCATCGATCTCTCGGACGACGAGACTCCTGACCCGTTTCTAGGCCCATGTATCTATGTTTCCTTGATGTGTATTGACGCAAATCGATTATAATGAACGATACTCTACGCGTAATCGCGAATTCTGTTTGGCACGAGTTTTGTTTGACTTCTGTCTTTCTGTTTTCTGTTTTTCTACCAAGATGTGAATTCTTCCTTAACTCTTTCGCTATCAATGATATATATGTTGATATATATGAACGCTATCAACGGACATATATGTTGATATATATTGACATATCACACACGAATGTGGACTTATGTTTTCCTTGCTATTGATAGTATAATCCTACTATTAATAATAACCTTATTTAATAGACAGCTTATTCAATAGAATAAACAGCTTCTTGGCATTTAGAACACATCAATTTTTTAGTAACTGTTGGGTACGAGAAATTATATAACTGAGAATTGCTATTGGTGATTCTATCGTTCTGTTTATTACCGTTGGGACACTCAAACGCGCTCTCAAAACTCATATATGCCAGCAGGACATAAGCGTGTTGCGCCGCGTCACATAACTAATATGCGAGTTTCAATTATAAAAAGAGTCGTGTAACTTCCTCAAAACGTACTGAAGAATTTATAAATGTGTGTCTTATAATTTTTCTTCGTAAAATAAAAATTGCAAAAAGGAATCCCTTTACTTCATACCTACATATGCGCTCTCAAAAACCTCAGTAGGATACCAGTATACTGACTCTATCCCTTGGACGCCAAACATAAGATTTCATATTTTTTTCGCTAAAAGTAAATCATATATTAACGTATTTAAGGCTCCTGGCCCCTCGCATTGTCTATCTCTTTTTAATGACGTCAGAAGTGAGAAAATGCATGCTAAAAATTCTTGCGAAATACGTTAAAATAAAAATATATATCCATAAAGTAACACTTGCAGTCGATTAAACAAATTTGCAAGATATTTCGTGCACTCCCCTTTTGCTCTAACAATCGATAATTTGTCGTGTAAATTAACGTGACATACAATTCATCTTCTTAACCTATTTCTTCGCCTATTTCTATTCAAGTTAATTTACAATAAATTTATTGATTGTTAGAGCAAAAGGAAGTTAGAGTGCACGGAATATCTTGCATGCTATATGCATTTAGTAATATTTAAGAGTTAAGCTAACATTTTAGTAATATTTTAGTAATATTAACAATATGAAGTGATATATAATGAAGTGAAAGTAAAGAATTGTGTACCTTTAAAAAACAAAATGCTGGCGAGAAGCTTAAGATTATTATACCGGTTCACGACACTTTGGATATTCGAATACTAGGGAATTCTGCCGCGTACCACTACGCGTCGATTATCAAAAATATCGAAGACCGTCGCGTCCTGCGCGACGCTTTGTTTCGTTCCGCGAGTCGGTTGTGTCTCGCGCTTTGTCTAGCTACGCGCGTGTGGCGTCGTGTCGCGTCACGCGTTGTTTTGTGCCTCGCGCACGGGGCAGTAGCTGGCGATTCTATCACTCGTTTCGGATGTATTCCGCCGCGTATGTTAGCGACTTCGACAGCGACGACGACGAAGTCGTGTGGCCGCGCTACGATGACGATGGGGACGACTACGACATCCAGAGTGTGTCCACAGTAGAGCTGCAGGCGCCCGAATGCTCATCGCAGCACGTGTACGAGTTCGGCGAGTTCGAGGAGACTCACGGCTGGGTGCAATGCCGATCCAGGAGCCAACGGGATCGTCTGTATTTTCATAACATGCACAGCGGCTGTGATACGTGGTATAGACCCATCTCGCGCCACATCAACGTTCCGTCCATTTCCCTCGAAAAGGTGAGCTAATGAGTGCGTTCAAGATGATCCTCACCAAATTCGAGTTAAGCTGATTGATGACTAACTCAGCCGAAAAAGTTGCCCACACGAAAAGTAAGCTACGGTTTGTCGTTATTGATACGTGTGAGAAAATTCTCTTGTTTTCTCGCCTGTATGAAGTTAGCCCCCCACTTTTCAAATTTAATAATTTTGACAGTTGTGCTAATTTGTGCTAGGTTTATGCTACATTGTGCTCAAATTATAAATTTTTAATACGAAAAATGAGCAAGAAAAATGGAAAAACTGTTTTTTTTGTTAGCCCTCCACTTTTTGATTTTCGAAATTTTTTTTATTGTGTTAGGTTGGGCTAAGTTGTGCTAAAGTAGTATCTTCGAAAAATAATCACGAAAGAAATAAGACGAAAAAAACGATTTTAGGCAAATAGAATAAAA